AGACAATTACATTATATGAAGGTTACAGCAAATGATTTCTATTACATATACTTACACTACAAGAAATGTCAAAAGATTGCTTTCTCCAAAGTGATGAGATCATTTTCTTCTGTTGGACATAATACAAGTTCTCTATTTCATTTAATTTCAAACCTTTATTTAACCAGATTGGTCCCTTGAGATCATAAATCTCTTTTTCAAGGGAGACCTGCAATATTTACTATTAGATAATAAATGATAAAAGAAGAATTCCTTTTTGCCACAGTTGCCTTTGTCTGGTATTCAAAACTTGAAAAAGGCACACAATGAAGGCACTTGTACTTAAATATGTTGTTTTATTTTTATTATCCATTACATTAGTCTGACAGCTTTAGCAGTTAGCCTACTTTTCAGATCGTCCTCTCCTTCCTGTCCAGTGAAAACAAAACAAAAATGGTAAACTGAGATAAGATATTTCCGTATGGGTCAGCCCAATAAATCTACTTCTCATGCTAAATAAACTCTTCAGAAAGTCTTTTGGTTGAGCCGGAAAATACACAATAAGAAATCTGAAAAGAAGGCAGTATTTATGAGCTCATGAGTACTTGTTAAAGATACTTGGTTCACACAGGACATTGACATAGACATAATCATGTCACAATCTTAAAAAATACGCTACATTTCATACCTTAAACCGCTTAAACCTTAATTTATCAGTAAAACATTAAACATTTTATGACACCATAAGTACTGTTCACACTTTTTGCTTATAATATTTTAAAATGTAGATAGATTCTAAATGCAGCATTTATCATACCATTGGGTTATTGGCACAGTGTTGGGTTTTAACTGAAAAGATGTGAACATTTCTTCGATATCTGCGAAAAAAAGACATAGAAAAGTATAAACTATAGAATTAAAGTAAAGTACATGGATGGCTCAAAGTATGACTTGGCGTAGACACACACACACACACACACACACACACACACACACACACACACACACACACACACACACACACACACACACACACATCCCTGCATACAACAACATAATTAATCATTTTCTATTTGCGTATAATTTAATAAACGATAATAAGTGCTACGGAAAACAAATACCTTGCCTATTATAATCCCGATAGATGGCACACGGTTTAAAGTAGTAGGAGTTTTTTCTTAATTCTTTAACACAATAAGCTAAAGAGGGTTAACTTAATGGGATAACCCTTTAATCTCTTGGTGGTCACATAAGTGCTTACATTTCTCTGTTTGTGTGTGCCTATTCTAATTACCTTTAAGATAAACCTGCCACAGAAACACCTGCCACCTGTAACCAACTGTAAGTTTACCAAGATAAGGGAAAGCACATATAAAAACATAAAATAATTATAAATCTGAAGATTTTGTTCTGTTATTGGTAGTTTTACATGTGAAAATGATAACAACCAAGGGTCATCTGTGCTGCAGAGAAAAAGCAAAGAGAAAACAATCTGATCATCACAACATCCCATAATAACAGCTGCAAACAACATCTACAAATAGGATTATTACACTGGTGTGAAGTGAACGCGATATGAAGCAACACGGTTCATTCCTCATCAGTGTAATTTCTCTTAATACACATGCTTTTCAGACAGAGGGTGTAAAAGCCAGCCTCTCACGTCATGGAGATTCCCGTCGCTAGTCGGGAGCAAATCCGAGTTCTGCTAGTAGAGAACTTTTACAAACCATGAATAGTTCAGAACTAGCGGAATTCCAGACCTACCCTCGAAACATCACAGAATCACGTAGAAAAATCATCAAATCTCCACCTCTTGGTACATTAAGATACTTAAAAGTAATATACTCTCCTCTAAGACATTAGTTAAAGCAGTATAACTTCTGTTGAGTAAAATATAAATAGAAACACAATTAGAAATAAATAGAAAATGAAAGTTTACAGATTTCTTTAGGGTCCGTCCTCTTCAGGATGCGCAGTCCTTGCCCCACTTGGAGTACTCATCAAATCCGTGGGCCGGCTACTTGAGGCGAGACGTGGAAAGGATTTCCATAAACCTTTGTTAACTCCTGGTCTGAAGTGAACTGTTGTTCCGGATAGATTAACCTGTTATCGAGTGAGAATGCCAGAAGTAATTACTCAGATTTAAATACTGAGAAGTGATTACATCTCAGAACCGGAGTTGTCCGTATAATCTACTTTGGTCTGCCGGGACATGAAATCCTCACCTGCATCGACCAGCTTTGGAAAAGACGTTCAACACAACAGGGGAGAATACTATCCCAAAAGATACCCAACAATGACTTAATACATTGACATAGTATCAATTGTATCGACGATTAGGGTTAGAGTTAGCGATACAGAGGCTCTTAAAGGGTTAATTGAAACATAAAACAGGGATATAAGCCAAGTTTGTTAGACTTCCACTCTCAACAACCAGAGCCAATGCGATGGAATAATCAGTTTAGGAATCTTCTTAACTCCTGAATTAAGCCATGATAAGAGCTGGTTGAATTCTTTAAATGCAAAAGAAAGATACTACAATGCTTCCTTTCTGATCTACTTCAGCACGGGAAACTCTAGACCAACCTTCATATGGAAAGGAGATAATGTCATCCTACAATTCCTTGCGGTAGAAACATTTAAAGCTACGCACCATTCGGACGCCAATAACATCCGCGTCACTGTGTGATCGTTGGACATCGGATGAATCATAAATGTTGTTCTTTGGAGGAGTGACTCTTTCTCTTTGGACAGGAATCATTACTTGAACTGTACAGCATTGGAAGTCACTGTATATATTATGTGTTACATTTAAAGGTGCTTTAAAAAATCTCGTAGTTTGTATATGTTGTCCAATTAGGCACTGTCGTTGCCTTATCCTAGGTTTTTAACCCTTCTATTGTCTTCGTTTCCCCCCCCTTACTTTGGTGTTCGCGGTCAAATTTGTTTTTTACACTCAGAAAGTGGTTAGGAAAAGACACTGGACGTATTTTCTACTATTTGACTATGATCAAATGACTATTTGTAGCTCTGCCTTCCCCTCAGACAAAGCTTGTAAAGAGGCGCTCACTCGCCGCCCCTTAGTTTACTTGATTAGTTCAGCTCGATTCCTTGATGCCTAAATGGGATCATGATTATCTTATTTGATCCAAAAGACACCCAGCAATTGAGCCTGGAAAGCGTTTTAATGTTCGACCAAACATCAGACTACACCAACAACTTTTATTAGTTTCTGACTATGGAAAAGTGGGGAAAACAGCAACAATTCCAAACTACAATATTTTGAACTATCCCTTCAACCAAATAAAACACATGTAGGCTTGTATATGTGATCTTCTTTTGATAACTAATGTAAGAACTAATACAAAAAAATGTATTCCTTCCATTGGCCCTTCAATAGTGTTTTATTGTCAGATAGTTTATAGATTTTCTTATCTTTATGGTCAACTTGTATATTTTCTACATTTTAATACTGTTTTATTTCTATTTTGAGATGTTTAAAGCGTAACATTTTTGATTTCTACTCTTTAATTTCTACGTTCTGATTTTAGCTGCAACGCAAACATTTCCCAATTTGGCATCAATAAAGTACATCTTATCTTATCTTATATTATCTTATTAACTGATCCTCCACCGAAACAATTTTGAGCCCTTCGTGTTCTCAGAACTCATTACCACTTGCAGGATAAACCAACACGAGTAAAGCCAACAGATAACACCGATGATCAGGATTGAATTCTTCCCTTAAAGTAGCCTATTATTGATTTAAGTGAACATATATAATAAAACTCATGCAAAAACAACACGAAACGTTTCAAAATGACTTAATGTGTGTCAAAACAGAAATTAAATCAAAAACATGTGCATCATAGAAAGTGTTATAGTTCCCTTGATTTCTACTTATTTCACTGTAACTGTTATTTAGGCCACTTATCCTGACTATATAGGCCACAGATAATTATTTATGTCACGGGACGAACAAGCTTTTCGGGCCTTTCCTGCTGTTTGGTTGTGCCATCCTTCCGGAAACCTTAGCCTCTCCAGCTTTGCCCTTGGCATGAGGAGCATGACGTGCTCTGCAGGATCAAAGCGGGGTCTGAAAATCCTGTGTTCTGATGTGAACTCTCTATCCGGAGGGATTAAAGGGTCTGACATTCAGGGCAGCGACTGTCACTATTATAGTTCTGTGGATCACCCCTTGTCCAATAAAGCTGCTTTAGCACTTGGCTGTCCTCTAATGTGGACTAACCTATTATATCACTACAATATAGAACAATTGCAGATGGACCAATTGATCTAGCTTATGTATTTCTATTATTTGAAGCGACTTAAAACGTTTTTAAAACACAAGCATTCACATAAACATATGGCAGATATAAACGTGACACGTACTGTATGTACGTGTCACCTTGTATAGAGGGAGACATTACACACTCACACAAGAAAAATCAAGTTGATGCACATTTCTGCTGCATTTGTCTTGATTTTACAAATGTATTTATATTCAGAGAACAACTTGAAATGAGAGTAACGGTTTTTCAATGTGGAAAAAATCTCTACATTAAAAAGTATAAGAAAATATAAAGTGGTTTGAAGATGAAGTCATTTCATTCACATTTTCTGTGTAGCTTTATTGCTTGTTTTTTAACTATAGAAATATAGAAATAGACAATATTGCTCCCGGCAGGTCTCAATAAAAGTAAATGACGGCTCAAAATTGCGCTTATGTCTAAATCACCTAATCCTCAGTTGAACGGAGTAGACGTATATCCGCTTTCAACCAGGATTATTTTGGCATTTTGTATCTTAAGGCAATAAGCTAATGCTTTTAATTACAGTTCAAACAAGTTTGCTTGTGTGCTTTGGTTTCACTGCCAGCACAGTTAACCAAACCCCCTAATCCTATCAGAGGTCTATGAAGCACAGGTATAAAAGCTAAAGTGAGACGTGTTGCACAATTCGTAGAAGGAGGTTGCAAGTGAAAGTTTAGCTGCTGAGGTCTTCCCTCTACGATCACTATGGCAGAAGAGTGGGGAAGACAGGTATTTTCAGCCAGGCGACACGAAGATTCAACAAGAGGATCGGCCTTCTCTTACACAAACAGCAATAATACCAAAGGTACAGTTTTTTGTCTTATTTTTAGCAATACAATGGTGTTGTATCGCCTACCAAAAGAAGCTAAATCATTATGTAAGGATTTGTTGATTTTTGAAGGGTTTTCTGACTTACGTAATTTTTTAAAGCAACTTGGTTGAACTTATTTGAATTTAATTGCTCATTTAAAATGTAGCGTTCCAACAAAATGGACAGTTTGACCGATGAAATAGACATTTAACTCAATGTACTATTAGTATTCATGTTTATTTGACATTGACAATAGATTGAGTGTACAACATTTATTGGACTACATGAGATTCAAAACTGTAAGACTAAATACCAGATTGCTTTTTTCCCCCTTTCAGATCCCTTTGAGGGTCCCAATTACCACATTGCTCCAAGATGGGTTTACAATCTTTCAACGCTCTGGATGTTAGTTGTGGTTATGTTATCAGTCTTCACCAACGGTCTCGTCTTGGTGGCCACAGCAAAGTTCAAGAAACTCCAACACCCTCTGAACTGGATCTTGGTCAATCTTGCAATTGCTGATCTTGGAGAGACAGTTTTCGCCAGCACCATCAGTGTATGCAACCAGTATTTTGGTTACTTCATTCTTGGACACCCAATGTGCGTCTTTGAGGGCTACACTGTCTCAGTTTGTGGTAAGTGCTCACAATATTTCCTCTATGGTTAAGAAGATTGTTTGGAAAGAGAGTTTTCTTTGTGTCACATATGTTATCAGGCTTAAATACCTTTACTGAGTGTCCTTATTTCTTCACACAGGTATTGCTGCTCTCTGGTCCCTGACTATCATCTCCTGGGAGAGATGGGTAGTTGTGTGCAAACCTTTTGGAAATGTCAAGTTTGATGCAAAATGGGCCACAGGTGGAATAGTGTTCTCCTGGGTCTGGTCGGCAGCATGGTGTGCTCCCCCCATCTTTGGATGGAGCAGGTAGCCTGATTATATTTTACCTAAAAAAACATGACGTTTACATCAATCATAAGAACCTTAAACTTAAAATGTTCCTAAATCAGGTACTGGCCTCATGGACTGAAGACTTCCTGTGGACCTGATGTATTCAGTGGAAGTGAAGACCCTGGAGTCCAGTCCTACATGATTGTCCTTATGATCACATGCTGTTTAATTCCGTTGGCAATCATCCTCCTATGCTACCTTGCAGTCTGGATGGCTATCCGTGCCGTGAGTTCTCTCACCAACAGTTGTATATATCAAGTAGATCGCAGCCTGACAGAATCTAACACTGTGTTGATTTGTTGATCACAGGTTGCCCTGCAGCAGAAGGAATCAGAGTCTACCCAGAAAGCTGAGAGGGATGTATCCAGAATGGTCGTTGTCATGATAATAGCGTATATAGTCTGTTGGGGACCTTACACATTTTTCGCCTGCTTTGCCGCGGCTAACCCTGGATATGCCTTCCACCCTCTGGCTGCTGCCCTGCCCGCATACTTTGCCAAGAGCGCCACCATCTACAACCCAGTTATCTATGTCTTTATGAACCGACAGGTGGGTACAACAGTCACATTTTGTCTCTGTTTAAATCAGATGTGTTTTGTTTACAATTGCTAACATTTTTTAAATGTATTTTTCAGTTCCGTACATGCATCATGCAGCTCTTTGGAAAAGAAGCAGATGATGGATCTGAAGTGTCCACTTCAAAGACAGAAGTCTCCTCTGTGGCTCCGGCATAAAGCTCTTGAAGTTCTCCTTTTTGGAAAAACAAAACTGAGAACCATTGTGAATTGTACAGTAAATATATATTGTTTCATCTTCCTTTTTTTCTTCTTTTTTTTTAGCAAATATAGCTTTCAGCAAAAGACAAAACACAACAAAAAAAACATATATATATATATAAAGCAAATGAATCATTATATGAATGGTCTTTTTCAGATGAAAATAAAAAGAATATCAAGCATGTTGAACAGTTTCCTTCTGTGATTTTTTAAACTACCGGTTCACATTAGAGGAGATTAGATACCATTTTCCTTATCAGTGGTGTTACTGTTACTGTAAGATACCTTGCTAACATTTCAAAATGTAACCCTAAAAATAAGAGCTATGGGGTTGCCCCAGATTGCACATCTTGGTATCAGTTATTAAGAAATGGCTTTAAAGAAACACAAAAGAAAAGATACTTGATTGAAGTCGGCATCCAAAATGATCTTTATTCTTCATTCAGCATTAAGGCTACAAACCTTTCAACAAGTGACACATTGTTTTAAAAAATTAGAAAAAAGCAACATGTCTGTTTGAATGTTTTAACAATATTTTTTTTGTTACAATAACTAGTTACCTGTAATAAAAGGTCATCAGTAAATCTGAATATCAAAACAAAAAATGTAGCTGATTACTTTTACTTTCATACTTTCTCTGTTACACTCAGAGCTCCAACACATTGTACATAATGGGCTAAGGGGCGGGACATCTCTGAACGGTTGACCAATCACAACAGAGCCGGCCAGCTAACCAATCAGAGCAGACTGGGCTCTGGTTTCAGACAGAGGGTGAAAAGACGTGCTGCAGCACAATAAAGACACTTTTGAGGCACAGAATATATGAGCCTAAGCATAATATGTCCTCTATAACATCATGGGGATGTGCTGCTTGGAGGCATAACATACACATATGAAACTTAACATAATAAGGCCCCTTTAATATAAATCAGTAACATGGTTTTTCAGAACGTTTTTTTGTAGGATTGTCAGGAAAAAACAAAGCATTATACATTACATGTTACTTGTTAGACGCTTTTATCCAAAGCGACTTACATACATTCAGTACTGTGGGCAATCCCCACAATAGCAATTTGGGGTGAAGTGTCTTGCCCAGGGACACAACGACATGCTGACTGCAGTGGGACACTAACTAAGTTCAGCGCACTATTCCACTGAGCCGCAGCCTCTCCGTATTATTATTATTATTATTATTATTATTATTATTATATTGCTCCTTTTAATGGCTCTATGGTCAAAAATAACAATCCAGAGGGTATTAAAATAGCCAGCATTAAGCCTAACATGTCATGATAACCGAGCCTAAAATTTGTGAGCCAGTCTCAGATGATGTCAGTGCTGTAAAGTAACTAATTACATTTCCTCAACTACTATTTACGATTTTGAGAGACTCGTATTCTTCTTAACTATTTCAGTGTGTTGCTACTTTGTACTTCTACCCTGTAGATTTTGATTGCAGGGTAGGAACACTTAAATAAGGCTTTAGTCACACCTGGAGCTGGAGTTACATTCTCAAGCTACCCTGCTGTATACAAATTAATTGAACTAGCTGCACCTTTACCATCTTTGATAACACATTAATGCATTAACAATTATAGTCAAGACATAACACATATATTATTCAGAAATGTGCTAATTTGCACAATGAGTAATTCAACTTTTGGTATTTTGATGCTAATACTTTATACTTGTACTTGAGTAACATGGGTTACCTTGGGTGGTTATTGGCTAATGGTAACACGAGCCAAAAAATCGTTATGACATCATAAAGTGGCCAAAATCTGATCGGCTCATTTTCAGACAGGTTTTTATATAAATGGATCAGGACAAAAAGAGAGAGAATCTTTTTTCCTGAAACTTTCAGAGTCTCTTTACACAGTGGGGACACAGGATAGAATTTAAAATTCTTCTTCTCGCCTACAAAGCCCTTAATGGGCAGGCGCCATCTTACCTTAAAGAACTCATTATACCCTACTGTCCTACTAGGGCATTGCGTTCCAAGAATGCAGGGTTGTTGGTTGTTCCTAGAGTCTCTAAAAGTACAATGGGAGCCAGAGCCTTTTCTTATCAAGCTCCACTTTTGTGGAATCAGCTTCCAGTTTTTGTTCGGGCGGCAGACACCCTATTCGTTTTTAAGAGTGCGCTTAAGACCTTCCTTTTTGATAAAGCTTATAGTTAGGGCTGATTAGATTCAGCCCCTAGTTTTGCTGATATAGGCTTAGTTTGTCGGGGGACATCTTACTTCTTCCTTCTCTCTGTCTATACCTGTGTACTCTCATGTTCCGATTAACCCAGCTTCCCCAAATGTCTTGCTTTTTGGTGTCTATATACGCCGGGATCCGGAGTCATGGATGATCCTGCGGTTCTGTGTCATGGATCGCGAGTCCTGGATCTTGAGTCGTGGCTGTGGTCCTGGATCATAAGTCCTGGATGGATATCCTCGTGGATTCATCTTCTTATTATACACACATGCATTTCCAAACATTTGGACTACCTATGTTGCAAATGTATTATCTTTTCAATTTACACACGGCATCTATTGCACGTCTGTCCGTCCTGGGAGAGGGATCCCTCCTCTGTTGCTCTCCCTGAGGTTTCTCCCATGTTCCCCTTTAAACTGTGGGTTTTCTCTGGAAGTTTTTCCTTGTGCGATGTGAGGGTCTAAGGACAGAGGGTGTCGTATTGTCATACTGATATTCTGTACAAACTGTGAAGTCCACTGAGACAAATGTAACATTTGTGATATTGGGCTATATAAATAAACATTGATTGATTGATTGATTGATTGATTGATTGAGGGGACACATGCTTATGTATAACAGACAGGAAACGTTTAATGTAACAGACTATTCCTACACTCAGGTACTTCTACTTTACTTCAGTACAAGATCTGAGTTTCCCTGCCAATTGTTCTACGCAGTTTGGGAACCATGGTATTTTATTTTGACATGCATGCAGCCGGATGTTGTCTGGATGACGTCTTTGTTTGTGCGACGCTGCTGCCTCTTCCACGTGAAGTCAGTGAATTCGTTGGTGAAATCATGGCTAAAACTAGTACGTATTTCATTAAACTTGACTCCATGTGTTCACTCGCTTATTATTCTATATATTTGTATAGTTTTAACTGTATTGTGTCATTACTTGCAGAACAAAGAAAGAACAAGCGTCTTGACTTCATGGGGAAATTTAAGGTAAGCATGTCCGGGCTAATGGCTAACCTGACGGAGTCAAAACATGCTCTGGTTCGGAAGTCTTTACTTTCAAGAAGAAACATAATAATGTCCTAGCTAACCTCATTGCCATACTCGGGTTTGATTTAGCATTCAGATGCGTCAGTGTCACTGTACATATAATTCTTAAAACAGAAGTACTCAGATTTTCTACTTAAATAAAAGTATAAGTACCAGAGTGTAGGAATACTCTGTTACAAGTAAAAGTCCTGTATTAAACATTTTACTCAAGAAAAAATACTCAAGGTTCAAAGTTCTAGGCTTATATTGGTCATACGTACATTGCTACAGTGTAATTATGACGATGGAAATCTTAGGTCACAGGCTCCTCCAACAGTGCAACACAATAAAACTGAAAAAATAGTGCAAGTAAATAGTAAATACAAAAAGGAATAGCATCAAAATATACTTATACTAGGTACCAAAAGTAAAACTACGGTTTATGCAGATTGACCCACTTCACAATAATATATGTGATATGTTTTGATTATAATTATTGCTCCATTATTTGTGTTTATCAAAGCTGGTAAAGGTGCTGCTATTTTTAATTAATGTGTATACTGCAGGGTAGTTTGAAAATGTACTCCAGGTGTTACTAGTCTTATTTATGTGTTGATTATATTTCACCTCATTAAACAAAATCTGCAAAATTAACTTAATATATGTAGGGGAGTAAAAGTACACAATTTGCCTCTGAATTAGTCTCTCAAAATTGCACTTGAGTAAATGTACTTAGTTACTTCACACCTTACTGTCAATAGGAACAGCTTCTTTTTTCAGTGTCAAGTGCACAAAAAGGCCTCCAATGAGCTGGAACACACAGTTGTGTTGCTTAGGCAAAGCTATTCTTCCAATTAAAATGTTAATATATATATATAGGGTTAATATATATATAGGGTTAGCACTATTGGAACTGTAACACCTATTCAATGGAACCACTGTAGACTGTAGAGGGCCAAAGAGCCTAATTACAATGTTGATGGAGTTCAATGATGATGAAGATTAACTGCAAAAACAATACATTTCTGTTGTTTGGTTAGGTATGTGGTTGAGTAAAATTAACACAAGTTGTATTTGCTGTAAATGAAAACTGGCAAAATAACAAAAAGTATGTAGTGGGTTTTAAACATGAATTAATGCACAGAACGCAAGTGTGGGGGAAACTTCCATTGGAGTCAGGACTCAGAGAGACACGAGGAGAGCTGGAGCTTTGATGGCAAACACTGATGGTTTATTTGGAGCTTCGGCCGGAGAATTCACAAAGCAAGTCAAAAAGAGGTTCTGACTGCACGGTAGAGTTGCCACGTACATTCTGAAGAACTCTACCCCAGACTAGGGATGCCAGAAACTGACCATGATCTAATTCGAAATCGGACTTTTTTTATCAACAATAAGCTCAGCTTTGTTTGTTGGCTTGTGACCATCCACCTTTATCTTTATAATTCCAGAGTTTCCAAATAATATAAACAGATCATTTTACACTTGTCTTTCGGAGCTGTCTTTTGTTAAACAATATATTGTGTATGTTTTCCTGTCTGCAGAACAAAGATGGAGGAAGCGATGCTGCAGGGCGCCCAAAGAGTTCAGATCAGCACCTCAAAGAGCAGAGAAAACAAGAAGAAGTCCGAAAGCAAAGGGTGAACACTGGAAATCTTTACCTGTACTGTTGTTCAGGTTACATTGCTGATATTTTAAATAAATCTAACAACTCTCTTAATTTGTTAATTTCCTTCTTAGCTTCAAGAACTCCAGGACAGACAGAAAGTCTCTAGAGAACAAGAGCAAATGAAGAGGAGGAATTTGCAAAGCTTTCAGAGCGACATCCTACAGCGGCAGAGAGAGTTTGAGCAGAAGGTAAATGTCTAATGACTATTTAGTGGAATGCAATCATAATACCTGCATCGTGCACACATTGCCACTGTAGTGATTTCTGTTTTCTGATCTGTCTTCACAGGAGTCGGATATGCAGAGTTTGGAGAAAAATGTAAATTTTGAAAACGAGAATTCAAGAAAGACATATTACAGAGAATTTAAAAAGGTATGTTGTTGTTCAATACATGTGTCAACTGACATATATCTGATGAAAATTACATTTTAGAGACGTAAACGCAGAATTTTCACTTTGCAACTTGAGCAATTTCCTCGTTGTAAATGGACTGTACCTATATAGCGCTTTATCCAGTCTTTTTAAGACCCCTCAAAGCGCTTTTACATACATGTCATTCACCCATTCATACAGAGCACCTTACTCTAGGAACTAACATTCACACACCGTTGGCCATGCCATTGGGAGCACCTCAGGGTTAAGTATCTTGCCCAAGGATACATCGACATGTTGACTGCATGGGCTGGGGTCGAACCCACAACCTTCTGGTTGAAAGACGACCGCACTCCCTCGCAGCCACAGTCGCCCCGTTGTAATAGCTCTCGAAAGTCAAAAATTATTCAAATACACACTAAAGTAAATCAATCAATTGTGTTTCCATCAATTGATTTGCCCAGACATGTTGAATCAATAATGTGCACAAACAAACACACATATACTGTATACATTGGATGGTATAGATGTCCTGCCTTATAAATCATGCTGTTCAGATGTGAGAGATACAGAAATTGAGAACATTCATTTCTTTTATATAAAATGAAGGTGGTGGAGGCCTCGGATGTGATTTTAGAAGTTTTGGACGCACGTGACCCGCTGGGCTGCAGATGTCCTCAGGTGGAGCAGGCCGTCATTCAGAGCGGAACAAACAAGAAGATAGTTTTGGTGCTTAATAAAATTGGTAAGTTGTTGGTAAGGGATTGTATTTTTATTTATTGTCAAATACTCAATGCTTGACTTATTTGTCTTTGCTTTGATTAAAGATTTGGTGTCAAAGGAAATCGTGGAGAAGTGGATTAAATATCTTCGTAACGAGTTCCCCACGTTAGCCTTCAAAGCATCTACTCAGCAACAAAACAAGAACTTGGTATGGAGTTTAATATTTATATTTTTGCCATACGAATATGCTGATGAAATTCATATTATAAAATCCACGGAATAACATAATTCTGTCCCTCTGTTTCTTGCCATGGACAGAAACGCAGTACCGTTCCAGTGACCCAAGCCACCCCCGAGCTCCTCAGTACCAGTGCTTGCATTGGAGCAGACTGCCTGATGAAGCTACTCGCCAACTACTGTCGCAACCTGGACATAAAGACAGCCATCACCGTAGGTGTTGTAGGTAAGCAGCCCCATGAAACCATGTTCTTTCTGTGATAATGAGGACAGATTATGCAACATTTCAGGATCATATTTCTATTCTGTTCCTCTACTGTGACATGTTTACATGCTTTAGTGTTCAAAAAGCTCTTTTCTTTTCACCCTCTGTCTGAAACCAGAGCCCAGTCTGTTCTGATTGGTTAGCTGACCGGTTCTGTTGTGATTGGTCAACCATAGAGCTGTCCCTCCCCTTAGCCGATCATGTACAATGTGTTACAAGTGGAATTGTTGCATAATGATGTCACTATGTTACGGAAGTACAAAGGAATCCAATGGAGGCGTTTCAGGCAGGAAGGAGTGTGTGGGAGAGAAACTCCCTCTGGAGTGAACTTTTGGATTTTAGCCTTTGCAGACCATTTGCATGCTCAAAGACCTTTTCCTAATGGAAATGATTTTGCGATTCTTGTTTTGTAGGTTTTCCTAACGTGGGAAAGAGTAGTTTGATCAACAGTTTGAAACGGGCACGAGCGTGTAACGTTGGAGCCACTCCTGGAGTCACCAAGTAAGTACATGATGAGCTTTTCCTTAGGGCGAATTTCTGGATGCAGTAATTAAACTTTATTTTCTTTTCTCATACTACATATTTGCAATATCCATGAAAATAATCGCAATTAGATATTTTTTCCAAATCATTCAGCATTAATGGGTTTGATGTATTTCAGGTGCCTTCAACAGGTGCATCTGGACAAACACATTAAGCTCCTCGATTGCCCTGGCATTGTCATGGCAACATCAACATCTGACGCCGCAATGATTCTTCGCAACTGTGTGAAAATCGAACAGCTGGTTGACCCCATTTCACCCGTTGAAGCCATCCTGCGACGGTGCAACAAGGCCGAGGTGAGTCACATAGCAGCCTTCTTGTTTGTTGCTCGACTGTGTCTCTTGCATTAACGCAATTAACGTATTTTTCCCCGGATGTGCCAGATCCTTAAGCACTACGGAGTTCCCAACTTTCGCACGGCTCTTGAGTTTTTAGCCATGCTTGCTCGACGTCAAGGCAAACTGAGAAAGGGAGGACTGCCCGACACTGACAAAGCAGCAAAGAGTGTGTTGATGGACTGGACAGGGTGAGCAAAAAATTAAAAAAATCTGAATTTCGAGATTTGACTATCAGTTCTTGGCACTTTATTAAATCCAGCTTGTTGTGTTATCTAGGGGAAGGATCAGCTACTTCACGCACCCTCCAGAGACACACACTCTCCCCACACACGTCAGCGCTGCGATTGTTACGGAGATGGGAAAAGCTTTTGACTTGGATGAGCTGGAAAAAGGAAATCAGGAGGTTCTTGCAGGTAAAAGTGACTTCTAGTTAGGGACGAGATGACACAGGATTACATCGTTGAACTGACACTAAAATAACAACAGAACTAAGAACTGAATTTCCTCTGGAGGATTAATGAAGTTGATCTTAAAACTTAAACTTGAATGAGACACTTTTCTGGAATACTCTTCCAAGAGTAAAGCTGTCTAGCTCACCTATTATGGTAAATAAGTCAAAGAAATTGAGCCTTATCCAAAATAAATACACTAATTATCATGTAAGGAAACACAGACTTGCATAATGTTGACATTTGTATTATAATCCTTTACTTACGCAGGGGGAGCTTATGATTTTTGATGACTTTATTAAGGATTGTGTGATTGCTTTTCACTGACAAGATGATGCATGAACATATTTTCAATTATGTGTTTTAGTGCCATTTTAAGAGTGTTAAGCATATTATGACTATAATCGGGATACATTTTGCAACGTGACATTTTCATCGTCCCATGTCTAAATCTATTGGGATGTAGAAACCCCAGAATCAACAGACCTGGCTGTCAGCTATTGCGTTTACTTTCTTTGGTAAAAAGTAGTTGTGCAGGCAGGTATCTCAAAACGATAGTACATATACCTGAATAAATCGGCAACAGTTCGGTTCTAACAGTTTGGTTAGATTGGACTAAGAGAGTGCACAGAAATGTTGGCTTCCATTTTTAAACAGCCTAAAAAGGAAGTAGTTGTTCAAAGTTGGATATACTCTTTGCTGTCTTTCAGAGTCATCTTGTCCTGATGTCAAAATGGGATTTTGCATGGAAACCACCGGAATGACAGAAGGGGGCCAGGGTGAACTGCCTTCTGACCTGGGAATGTGGGAACAGCCCGAATTGAAAGACAAAACTGAATCCATGGAGGATGGCAAGGACACAGAGGTGTGAACAGTGCAGTTCTTACAACTCAAGTTAACTTCAGTAAAGTATGTTTTGCACTTTATACATCAACTGACTTTTAACTTCACTTTCCTTTCTGCTCAAAATAGTTTGGACCTATGACAGTGGAGATCAAATCTCCGAGGTCAAAGACTCCGTTACCTGGGGATGCAGCAGACAAGGCTCCAGATCTGAAGGATATTGTGGGTGTACATCCTCTACAGCAGGGTCAGGCACTCCGGGCCGCTGGCAAGAAAAGGAAAAAGCAACAGAAAAGAGCAGGTTTGTATTAATATTGGTCTCAGTCTTATAATGTATGTCTTTTTGTCCGTCGTATGGATTGTTTGTGCTAGAAAAACTGGATATATCTGTTCTTTATCCAAGTGTAATTGTAAACCAGCCTTTGAAGTGATTTCATTTAAACAAATGTGCAAAAAGTAGGAAAATAAGTTTAAGTGGCTAATCCTCTATAAGCAGGTATGTTTTGTGTAATGTGTAATCATGCTAAATGTAATATGTGTTCTGTTTTTCTCCACAGACAAAATTTCTGTTAAACTCTCAGACACCTTGACAGCCGCAATGGATTTCTCCTTTTCAGATGACTGATTAAAACAAAAGATTTAAAGAATACATATTTGTGTTTTGTCATTTTTTTTATGTCTTGAAGTATTATATGAACAGGATTGATGGAGATGCAAAATTTGGATTCACATACTTGATCCTTTATTTATTTAATAAGAAGTCCATGGTTCGGTTATGGTATTGTTTCACTAGGTAAATGATAATAATGATTAGTTACTTCAACCATTGAAATTGTTTTGATTTGGTACACCTGTAATGCATGTTGACTCTTACATATTGAGGAGCTATTTGGAAGTTGCACTTAAGGTCACTTAACTTTCATTATTTTAATTGTTCTATCCCAGTTACAATCGTTTGCATTTTTAAAGACACAAGTTTATCTTATGTTAACACGGGTATATCTGCTCTACTTTAGATAACATAAACATCATTAAAGACCTGACGTTCTTTATTTGTTCTATCCATTCTATCCATCCTGGTTTTTCCCAGTTACTGTCGTTTGCACTTTAATAGTACGACTTTATCCCGGGTATGCCTGCACTACATGGGGTATTTTGAAAGTGTAGTAACTACACAGCAGTCAAGTTCCGGGTAACCTGCGTGGTTCGATGACCTCAGCCCGTCGGCCCAAGATAAACAACACTGGTATCGAGGCTAACGACTGTCGGAGAGCTTGTGTTCACGGACTTTCAAAATGGCAAAGAAACCTTTGGACTTCGGATCTTTTTGATTCATTTGACACATCTGTTGCCACAGTACGTTTATTATTTTCTCTAAAATAAACTAGGTACCATTAGCTTTTTGGGAAACTAACGGATGCTAGTTAGCTTAGCTTAGCTAGAAAGCAACTTCCTATTTTTACTTTGACGTGACGCTGCTGTCAAACGACTGCTTTCAACATAAATAGCTAGCATTCTTCCGATATTGACAGTTAGCAACTGGTTCCCAACGTTAGCTAAACCACTGCAAAGAGTCGGTGATGTAAATACTAACATTAGCTAGCTTTAGCATTAGTTGTTGTGGGCCCGTTAGCAGCACTGAGCTGTCAAACTGTCATGACGCAAGATTAGAGCTCACCAAGAATAGAGATTGCGAAAACTGCTACCGTTAGGAAAGCTAACCATTAAGTGTTTATTTCTTCTCTAAATGGCTCGAGAATCTACCCTAACATTAATTAACATGGCATGGAGTAATGCGCCTTTTTACAGTTTGTTGACAGTGTGGTTCTTTAGAGGCAGGACCGCAGCTTGCGGACATAACGGCTCTGACCATTTATTTCCACTTAGATAATCGACACACAGAGGTGGGAGAAGTACTCAGATCTTATACTTAAGTAGAAGTACCAGGTTTTAGGAATGATCTGTTACAAATAAAAGTCCTGCAATCAAAATGTTATTTAAGTAAAAGTACAAAAGTTAATACATTCACTTAAAGTAGGCTACCAAAAGGGAAAGTACCCATGCAGAATGCATTTCAGAAAAATATGTATCGTATGTTTTTATTTCAATTATGGATGTATTAATGTAAAAAATCAGCAGTAGGCTTTACAAGCTGGTATATGGTGTGGAGAAATATTATTTGATTGTGCAGGTTGCAAAACATTGAACAAAAAGGTTGATTTGTCCAGATTATATCATAGACCTTTAATTGCTACATATTTTCCTAAATTATAAGAAAATACAACTTTTCCATTAGAAACTAACATCTGGATAGATCTAAGATGCTTCATCACTAGAAAACATAGTTCTAATAATAATAATATAGTAGTATGACAAACTTTTTAAAATATCTATAATCCTCTCCTTTTCTTTGTTTTACAGCTCCATCCCTAGATCTGGGTTAACTCTCCTTAACCATGTCTTCACGCGTGTTGCTCCGGCAGCAGCTGATGCGAGAACAGGCCCAGGAGCAGGAGAGACGGGAGGCCCAGCAGCAGGCCTCCGTCTCCCAGCTCCGGGCTTCTGACTCCACTCCAGCCATCTCCGTCACTCTGCCCCCAAATGCTCCCCGCCCGCCTCCGGCACAGGTGCCCGTGGAGTTGCTGAAAGTAAGTGTTTGTATTTTTTAAATAATATCTTTATTACATAGAATACAACAGCTCAGGTATGGACGTAGGTGAGAGTAAGAAGTAAAAACACTGGATAATATAAGGATCCTCATCCTTTGCCATTTCCCACCTGAGAAAGAAAGGCAATGACCAAAATAAAATTAGATAATAATTATCATTATATAATCCAAGTAAGGGACCCATACTTTATGGAAAGTATCCAGTGAAGAATGAGGCATACATAAGATGTATTCGTTGGGAACAAACACCATTTCATCCAAAATCAGAAAGAAAAAGAAAATCTGCCGGCAAAGTGAATAAATTAAATATCCTCCTGTGATTGATATTTGTAATATGACCTTCTGGAAGACCAAGAAGGAGGCACATAGGGTTTACCTATATTGGAACACCAAAAATAACACACAGTTCTTAATAAATACCAGACCAGTAGCTTTGTAGCTTTACACATGAGCAGAACCAGTGAATAAGATCGCTAGAGTTACATTTACTGCAGAGCAGAGGTTCATTAATGTCCATTTTGTTTTTGAGAGCAGGTTTTATATGTGTGCCATGTAAGATTCTCAACTGAGTAGATTTAGTTTGGTTGCAGATATTTTCCCAGCAAAGACACTTGTGTGTATTTGTATCACTTCTGTTGTTTATTTAAAAAAACTTTGAGAACATAAGCCCCTAACTCTTCTTTAACTGATCAGGTGCAGACCCACTTGGAGAACCCCACCAAGTACCATATCCAGCAGGCTGTGAGGCAGCAGGTGAAGCAGTACCTCTCCACCACTCTGGGCAACAATGCGATCACTCAGACCCTGGGGGTGTCCCCTGTGCAGCAGTCCAGCTCGGCCCCTGAAGCCGCTCATACAGCCAGCAGTGCCCCCAACAGCCCTATGGCTCTGCTCAACATCGGCTCCAACAAGGAGGAAGTATGGGAAATTCCTGCTTTGATAACAGCGGTTTAACTTGTTGTGTGCTGCTTTCGGTTTGATGCTAAAGCAGATTGCACAACCCTGTCAACAGCTGCCTTTCTGCAGACTTACAGTGTGAATTTGGAGAAGTTAAATGTCTAACCTTCTGCTCACTTCTAGCTAAATGTCTAACCTTCTGCTCACTTCTAGCTAATTACTTTTTGTTTGCTCTGCAATGATGTGTCTGAAGGTCCCACTGCGCTAATGCATGCTTTTTGTCCTCGTACCCCTGTTAGCCTGTTGTCACAATAAGATGTTAAATACTGCACTTACAGTTTAACCATGCACTCTTCTTGCACACGCTCCCCTCTTTGAAATCAGGCCACTTTAGTTAAAATGGTTTGTGTGCTTACACTGTAAGCTTTAGATTCCAAAGCTCACTATATGTACATACATGTTGATTGCTATGACACATTTAACCCTTTCTGACTTGGGACCACTGTTGTTTTTTTTTCTGCTTTATCTAGATTGACGATGTGATCGACGACATCATTAGTCTTGAATCCAGTTTTAATGACGACATCATTTCGCTGATTGACTTAGGACTTCAGCTGCCTAGCACGGTATGGAGATCAATGTATTTATTTGAACACTAAAACTTCTTTTGTTAAAGTTTTCTCTAGAGTTTCTTTTGGTGGGTTTCAGTGGCAGGATAACACAGGGTTTCAGGGTTAACCCACACACTTTTTGTACCCAAAGTGTTTTTTCTGTGAATGGACGGTCTCTTTTGTGTGTGGAATTCAGAAGTCGTAGAAGCCAATATATGCTTTTGGCACTTGGTTACTATTCGTCACAAAAGTGCTGCCTGGGCGGGGTAAATTTATCAGAGGACACAAGACAGGGAGAAGTGAAACCAAGAAGATTGCACTCGTAAAAAAATTCCTGCATGGTTAACAAGTCGTTTGTCAGATAGAAAGAGAGCTTGACAACATTTTGCCGGAAAGCAAAATATGAGGATTATGGTCATGCTGGTGGAAGAAAAGAAAAGAAAGCAAACTGAGGTAATACTTTTTTGTGATTTTGTGAAAGGGTTAGGGTTAGGGTTAGGGTTAGGGTTAGCAACTTAGATATGTAAGAATGTCATGTAAATATTTAGATTTTGGGCTTAATCCTAAAACGGCATCTGTTGATCAAATTTAGGATTTTCTTTCAACACATTTGCTCCGTGCAACATGTAATAACATTTATCTGATACGATAGAAACTAACTTTTAGTTGATTATAACTCTTATGCAAGGATGGGGAACACTTTACATTTGCTTTTAGGTTTCCGGTAATCAGCAGTAGTTGAATGTAACTGGCAGAGACCGCTCCATAGCTCCATAGTTTCACTTTTTTTTTTTTACATGTTATATTTAATTTAATATGCCATTGTTGCACACTAAATGTAAATAATATCCTACTTTTATATTTAGTTTGCTGTAATTGAGCCCTTAAATAGTGTTTTATTTGTCAGATAGTTTACATATTTGTATCTTCACGGTCAACTTTTATATTTTCTAATGATGCGCAATACTTTGTTAAACATGCTGCTGCTGCAACGAAAACATTTCCCAATTTGGGATTAATAAAGTACAGTTAATCTTAATTTATGATATTAACTAAGTACATTTCCTTAAGTAGTTTGCTTAAAGGTGGGGTAGGTAATTCACTTCAGAAACACTTGTTATATTCCATGGAATGCTCTTAACATCCCGATAGGTGTGCCTTGGCAGTCTGCTTTGACAATAAATACATAAAAAAAGAATATGTGGAAGCCGTGGCGCCGTAAAAAGCATGGATGGCTTACCTGCCCGTCAGCCTTCCATCTGTGCACAAACTTATCTCGTGCCCTCATTGGTCATGGGCGCCTTCGTGTGTGTTGGAGGAGGGGCTCTGTAAGGAAGTCTGAAGGAAGGGGCAGATGTTTTTCGGCTGCGTATTTTCAAATTCTAGCGCACTCGAGCTGGTTTCTCCATTCTTACCTACCCTACCTTTAAGTATGTTTTTGGTACTTTATATATCCACTCCACTACAATTTGAAAGCAGGCATTGTAATTTGACACGCTCTACATTTGTTCGACTACATAAGTTACGACATACTCCTGTTTGATATTATAAACACAAAAAAACAACCAGCTGAGGAATTATGATGTACTGTTTTGAATTAGGACACTGTAAAATACAGTATAGAGTTAATCTAAGGTAGTTCCAAGTTCAACAGCTTAACACATGAATGGCTCACTTTTCATATTCCAACAAATGTATTTATTTCATTTAAAATGGGCCTTCTGAATAACAAGTACTTTTAATTTGGGTTTTTTAGGTACATTTAATGCAAATATTTCTGTATTTTAACTTTTACTTATAATAAAGTATTTTTTTATTACCTCTGTTACTCCAGAGGTAATATATCTGAGTCCCTCTTCCACATTTAGTGACTCTTTTTTACTATATATATATTTGAACATTTTTTATTTTCCCTGCAGCTCCCAGGGAATCTTCTGGATGTTTACCACAGTCCTGGAATGGCAGCAACTCTCACTGCCAGCAACTCCTGCCCCGCTGACCTTCCACAAATTAAAAGGGAAATTTCTGGTACGGTACCCAGCTTTTATAAACCTGTGTCTTGACTTCACTATAAATGTTTAGGATGACTTGTTCATATTTCATTGTGTAGCTCATAATGAATTTGTCTTTTAAGAATCAGACGTCAAAGCAGTAATGAAAGAAAGGCAGAAAAAAGACAACCACAACCTCAGTAAGTCCAGATCTATTCCAACCATTTTGAGCACTTTTGATGCAGTAAGCAAAGGTGACATGCAGTGCTGTGCAGATTTAAACTCAAGAAGACCCCAGTCCATGTGATATGTATCTGCATAGTGCTAACTGATAGTTAAAGGTTATTTTAGGTGTGTTAATTTCCCTCTCTGACTTGTTCTTCTTGCTTGTCAACAGTCGAGAGGAGGCGGAGATTCAACATCAACGACCGTATAAAGGAGCTGGGCACGCTGATACCCAAGTCAAGTGACTCGTAAGCACAGTTTGATGTTTTTCAGGATAGGAATTTTGCGGAAATGATTAGTATTATTATTTTTAAAATTGAGACCCTGACATAAAAAAACAATGTCCGTAGCTTCTGCGATGTTAAAGGTCCCATGTCATGCTTTTCCGGTTATTACCCGTCCCCTTGTGTGTTATGTAGCTTTTTATGCATGTAAACGTTCTGCAGAGTCAAAAATCCTCAAAGTACACCCTGTAGCGAGTAAAGCTCTAACACAGAAAAGACCTGTCTGTGCTGCCCCAGAACGCCTCATTGGAGATTTCTCTTTTTCCATTTGTTTCTTCCGGAACCAAAATGGACCAATCCACGGAGCTCCTCACCAGAATCCCTTGGCGTCACTATCAAACGCAGTGGGGGGACCTTTAGCGTACATGTTCAACTATCAGGGAGTCCCATTGACTTGCATAGAGCTCCCTGAACGCTGGTAAAAGAAGAGTTGGGATGGCGGAGAAATGCTCTCCGCAGACCCATTCTCACAGCGTTATAAACCTTTTTCTTACTCAATATCAAGCCACACTCATTGTTTTTACTTCGGCTGTGAGTGTTTGTGTGTGCTCAGGATGAGTTTCGCGCTGTCCCGCTGTATCGCCGACCCGGAAACCACACCAGTAAGGCAGCTCACTGAGCAGCGAGCCTCGCAACGTCCCGACCAATCAGAGCACACTGGGCTCACAGGGAGGGGGGGCAGGGGCTCCAACGAGCCGTTTAGGACAGAGAGTGAATACACATATTATAGAGATGCTGTATGAGAAACCAATGTGATTTTGGAAAATTGCACAATTTAAATCTATTCTAGTAGACCTCAACAATGGAACTATGATCATTAGAAATGGCCATGACATGGGACCTTTAAACATACTTTCTATTTAATCGCCAACATTAATTATATGGCATCATGCTGAATTGTTCTGCTCCTCTCTCATTGACTATATTATTGAAATGAGTTAGGGGTTATAATAGCTAATTCCAAGTCTTCTTCAATCAGGTACAAAAGAGAATATATTCCCTTTTGTAGATTATGGTTCCATTTAGAGTAACATGAGGATAAAGCAGCATATTGCTTGATTTAAATTATTAGCAAAATGATTAGCAAAATTGCCAAAATCCGATGTCAATATGGGGATTTCCAGTTTTTTTCTCTAGGCTTTATCTTTTATTAAACTTAATATCTTTGGGTTTTCTATTTACAAAAATAAATGTAAAGACTTTAGAAACTGGAATGACATTTTATTTCTCAATTTTATGTCATTTTATAGAAGATTACTTTTTGAGAAAATTGGTAGATTATACAAAAAAGGAAAATAATAGTTAGTTGCCAAACTCCAGGCTTTAAAGGTCCCATGTCACGGCCATTTCTACTGATCATAATTCCATTGTTGAGGTCGACTAGAATAGATTTATATTGTGCAATTTTCCAAACTCACATTGGTTTCTCATACAGCATCTCTGTATAGTATGTGTTTTCACTCTCTGTCCTAAACGGCTTGTTGGAGCTCCTGCCCCCCCCCTCCCTATGAGCCCACTGTGCTCTTATTGGTCAGCTCGCCCTCTCTGTTCTGATGAGATAACCACTGTTACAGCGGAACATCAGTGATTATGTGTTACAATGGCGTTAGCAGCCAGAACATGACACCAGTAAGGACAAACAGATGAGAATGCTGCGTGGGGTCTGGGTGCCGTGTTGGCGGGACGTTGCGGGGCTCGCTGCTGTGAGGAGGGGACAGTGTGAGCTGGGTTCATTTCCTGGTTGCTGCGTGGGGTCTGCGAGACAGCGAGACATCGCGAATGGACGCGGGAACGCGGGCACAGTTTCGCCGCTACAAGGCTCCACTAGCTAGGGTTCTGGGGCAGCATAGACGACAGGTATTTTCTGTGTTAGTTTTACTCGCTACAT